GGGAGATCTTGCTGTGCTATTTAAAAACTACTCTTTCTTAGCAAAAAAATTGAACAATTAAAACAAAGTCTCTCTGAACCTTAGTTTTCTCATCTATAAGGTGGGAATAAAAATAGTATGTATTTGAGGCGCATCATGGGTGGCTCTTGATTTTGGCTTAGGTCATGATCTCATGGTTCAAAAGACTGAACCCTGGTTTGGCTCTGCACTGACAGCAGCGAGGTCCTTAGGACCTTCTTTCTCCCTCTCTCTGCCCCTTCCCCTCTCTCTCGCTTACACACATGCTCTCCCTCTCTCTCTCAAAATAAATAGACGTTAAAAAATAGTATGTATTCATAAGACTTGAAAAGATTAACTGAAGAGATTCAGGTAAAATGCTTAGCACACTTCCTGGAACATAATTAGTCCTCAACAAATGATAGTTATTATTACCATTGTTAGGGATTCTTTTGAATTTTTGGATACTGATATTTGTACTAAATTTAGGAAGTTTGGCTTTTAGTAAATTTGAGTTTAGTTATCCATATTAATATTTTGAGGACTTAAAAGTAGGGAGTAGGTAATAATGCACCTATTATTTTCATTTGTGAATATTCCTTAACACTAACACTACTTTTTGAGTGAACAGATGCTTGTGAGTGAACAGATGCTTCAGTACTATACTTTCCTTCATGGTGAGCATCAAGTTCTTTGCCAATTTGTGTGTGTGTGTGTGGTGTATACATATATATATATGTATATATATATATATATATATATATATACCCACATATTTCAGAATCTCAAATGATGCAATTTTACATCCAGTGTGTGCAGTGCCCTGGTTTTATTAATAGCATTTGGCATGTCTTTAAATTTGGTCTATGGTACTATTAGCTCTCTCTGATGTCAACCAAGGCCGACCTTTAGTGGAAACTATTTTCTGTTTCTATTGAGATATAATGAAGACAGATGGCAACACATATTTGAAGAAACATCCTTACAAGATGCTCTGCTGTACAAACGATGGAAGTGCAGATATGAAAGATAACGTGTCAATTATCGTAGATGAGACACCTGACCCAGTGTTCAATCAGTCAATAACTGTATTTAATTCAGTAGAAATTAGCTAGACTGTTTAAAATATTTGTCTGCTCTGTCAGGTGTCATTTAGAGATGACAGTTTTAATATAATATACCTATTTTGATATCTTGAACATTTGAAATTGTGCAGTTACTTGGTGAAAGTAAATTTTAAACTGTTTTGTGTTTATGGAACTGTTTAAAAATCTTATGATGTCAACTGTCTACATACAAACATTGGATTATTTGGACTTCCAGTTGTTTTCCTTTTTTAAAAAAATGGTTATTTATTTATTTTGAGAGAGAGAAAAAGAGAGAGCATGTGTACAGGGAATGGAGAGAGAGAGAGACAGAGAGAGAGAACCCCAAGCAAGCTCTGTGCTGTCAGCGCAGTGCCTACCACGGGGCTCGACCTCAGAAACTGTAAGATCATGACGGGAGCTGAAACCAAGAGTCAGATGCTTAACTGACTGAGCCACCCAAGTACCTCATTATTTTCTTAATATAGGAACATGGTAAACTCTGGGTTGAAAAGCCTAATTTAGGACAAATTTTATTTTTTTAAGAATGCAGACACGTGTTTTTCTCTCTTCTCTCCCCACTACATTCTCTTTTCCTCTCTTTGATTACTTTTTATTTGGAATCGTTTGGGTCGTTTCGGTGAACTTCCTTTCAAATTGTGGGTTTCTGGATTTCCAACATTCACAACTTATTGGCTTTTTCATATAACTTTATTCTGCCTTATCTTAGTCATGGTTGTATCTTAGTATGGTTGTTGATTTGCTTACTAGAAACACATTCTTAATATTATCATTAATTCATGTAACCTGTATTTCCTAAGCATTTATTGGTTGTACTGCATATACAAAACAATTTGCTACTCCTGAAAAGGTTGTATAGTATGACATCCTATTTTTATACTCCAAAAGATTTTGTGTTCTAACAGAGGAGATTCATATACTTAACTAATATAAGATCGCAAGAAATACATTTAAAAAATCAATACAAACTTTAGAGGGGGGCAGGTAATGTCCTGTGGGAAATTCCACTGAATGACTTTAGATGGTGAGTCCAATTTTATGACTCACGGTCTAAAATGCTCGCCCTCCCTTTTTTTTCTTTTTATTCTTTTTTTAAAGTTTATTTATTTTTGAGAGGGACAGAGACAGCATAAGTGGGGTAAGGGCAGAGAGAGAGAGGGAGAGAGAGAGAATCCCAGGCTGACAGTGCGGAGCCTGATGCGGGCTCGAACCCATGAAACTGTGAGGTCATGACCCTGAGCTGAAACCAAGAATCAAATGCTTCACCGACGAGCCACCCAGGTGTCCCCAAACTGCTTGCCTTTCAATGAATGTGTTAGTGGAGTCATTTTTCCATTTAGTAATATCATTTCTATAAAATTCATTTTATTAAAATAAGTAATAATATTAACTAATGTAAATGTATTCTTAGGTATAAATGTATATTATGTAATTTATTGCAATATATAATCAATCTTCAGCTTTTTTTTAGCTCCTACTTAATGTAGTGTGATTTCTTTAATCTCAGACTTGAGTAGAAAATAAATTTCTAAATAAGTTTGAACATTTTCTTTAAAATCAAAATACATTACAGGGTGTAAAAAGGGCCTGGCTTCAGAGATGTATACCATCAACAGTACTTAAAGGTGTTTATTCTCTAGTTTTATGGAGAATGCCATAGAATTAATCATTTGATTTTACTACTGAAACTATCATTTTGAACTGTTTGATGGGTTACATCAAATTAAAAGAGAAAGTCAAGTCCCATACATTTGTCTTAAATATTATGAGAGCTGATTTACTTATGGCCAATATTGGTGGTAGAGAGAAAACCAAGGTAATTTTAGAAATTCACTCAGGTCGTTCTGGGTTGCATGTTCTTTGACATGGCCTCTGGAAAATCTCATTGTAATTTCTTGATTTACTTTTTCCTAAGGCATTTTTAAAAAATGGTTGCAATTTCCAATGGATTCAGTCGTTAAGCCTCACATAATTTTTCTTGATGTTTGAAACATTTTTCAGTAATGCTGCTAGAGGTGTGCCTAAAATAACTAATAACGAAATTGTGAACTAAAAGATGTTCCGTAACAGGAGCAGCTTTACTGGGACCTGTTGTAAAATAGGTTTCTTCAGACTTCCTGGCAGCTAAAGTAGATTTGGAGGCTTTATGTTTTCCTTTGACCCTTCCATTTCCATGGCTCACTGTTCTTTTATCTCAGAACACCCAAAGTGAAAGCTATAAGGCTCCATTTTTGTTAGTTGAACCTTTTTACCTCCATATTCCTTTAGCAAAACTCTCTGTTCTGTTCCTTTCAGAGTCTTGTTACCTGTATTGTGTTAAAATATTTAAGGAGGTCACTGATTTGAGATACTTTCCCTCCAAGAGGGCATGTAAACCTTTGACGGTGGTCCTCAGTTCTTTCCCCAATTCTTTTTTTTTTTTTTAAATACTTTTATTTATTTATAGGAGAGAGAGACAGCGTGAGCAGGGGAGGGTCAGAGAGAGAGGGAGATACAGACTCCGAAACAGGCTCCAGGCTCCGAGCTGGCAGTCAGCACAGAGCCCGACAAGGGGCTCGAACCCACGAACCGCGAGATCATGACCTAAGCGAAAGTCGGATGCTTAACCGACTAAGCCACCCAGGCGCCCCCGTTCTTTCCCCAATTCTTAACTGAACAACAGTATACACTCTTCAGAGGAATGAGTGTTGTTTATAGGAGATAAAATAAGAGACCAAGAGGAGGTCTTTGGGCATTGAAAGATCTTTGGGTGACCATGGAATCAATCTTTTCGGTCATTTCTGAGTTGAAATAGATGTTACCTAGAATTTCTCCGATATAAAATTTTACTGTATTTGTTTCCTAATCACTAAAGCTTCAGTTGCTTTGTGAAAAGTGGATTCACTGGGAAATGATCTTAAGAAGTACAAATGATTCCCCTTTTCAGGGATGCATATTCAGCAACAAAAATTACCAGCTGAATTTTACAGTCTCACAGTTTATACTTCCACTATTATTAAAGAAAGCATAGAAAGTGTTTCTATTTTCTTCCTTCCTGCTTTAGTTATGAGCAGGAGATGCTAGAGACCACTGTACATCATCTGTCTTCAACTCTGTCAAGAAAGGAATGTCGTTCAGAGATCATCTGGAATTTGTCTGAATTTGATAATGAAGTGCAGGGCAGTTCTAAAAATAAAGACAGGATTGTTGGGTCCAGTCACAGCAGCATAGTTCATCATTGTTGTTTTTCACTTGTAGCCTTGTTCCTTGTATGGCGGTTTCTGTTTCTCAGGACAAGCTAAGAAGAGCCGTTCTGTTCCTGTGCTCTGGGAATGCTGGAGTACAGAGTCTGTGATTTTGAGGAAAATGTTGGGCTAGTGTAAGGAGCCTGTGTCCCCCCAAGCCCAAGGTTTGCTGCAAACAAGGAGGATTAGCATCCGTGGGAATTGAGGTTGAGAAATCGAATAGAAACGCCACAAATAAAGAAGTGTTTAATTTTGGATATGATATTGAACCTCTTAATAAAAAACATATTAAATCTGCATAACTAAACACGGGGTCTGATTTGCTGTCTTCCTTTTGCCTGATAGGGAGTCAGCATTGATTTTTATGGCCATCAAGAAATTTTAGTTATCTGTTTGTATTCAAGGCTACGAGACTTTGAGGCAACATCCGCTTTATCGGCACCTGTCTATATTTACTCTAATCAAGTAAGGGTTCCTACAGCATATGGTCATAGAATATATACTGAAAGCACAGAAATTTCCCAAGAGCTTGGTAGCTGTATATACGATAGTTAATAGATTTTTCTTTGCCATCTATTAAAGTTAAGGGGAGGACCTTAAGGTTATTAGCAATCTTATAATTCGCTTTACATGTTATAATTTAGTTCTCTATCTTGGTCTTTTTCCCCTTTAGATACTAGCTCAGTCATGCACTGAAATCCTGGAACTGCGGCCTTCAAGTGTCTGTGTAGGGGGTAAGTGGTTAGAATTTAAAAATACCATATAAGAAATTATATTTTTTCCCCCTAGTTAAAATATATGATTTGAAACTCATGTTGGAATGAGAATAACAAAATTAACTTTTTTGGCATCCTTTTCTGTAAGAATTTTTAAATAATTCCTTGAAATATTTCTATTTTAAATTCAAATTTTTTAAGATTGGAGTCTTATTTTAAATAATGAACATATTGTGTGACAGGCTTTTAGAATTTTCTGTATATTTAGTTCATGTTTGAGACCTTTCCTATGACAAGTAAAATAAAATATGAATTTTTTTCTCTTATCTGATTATACAGTCATGTATCTGTGGACTTTGAGCTCCCTGGTTTGATGACCTGCCCAAAGCACAGTGCCCTCCAGCTCGGGGCACATAAGGGAGTGATGTATGGGTGGAAAGCAGGAAAGAAGCAGGTGGCTTCATTAGCTAAGAACAGGCTCAGGTTTTAGCACTTCCAAGCTATCCTTACCCAAAGAGAGTGTGATTCTCTCTGGCTTGTTCTCTTTCTTTTTCTTCAAATCTGACCTGCAGTTCAGTTTAATCTGATATTTATTTATTTATTTATTTATTTATTTATTTATTTATTATTATTTTAATGCACAATTGTAAATGATGAATGTTGAACTTTTTTTTTAATGTTTCATTTATTCCTGAAAGAGAGAGAGAGAGAGGGAGAGAGACAGCGAGAGACAGCGTGAGCAGGGGAGGGTCACAGAGAGAGGGAGACACAGAATCTGAAGCAGGCTCCAGGCTCTGAGCTGGCTGTCAGCACAGAGCCTGACGCGGGGCTCGAACCCACGAACCATGAGATCATGACCTGAGCCGAAGTCAGAGGCTAAACTGACTGAGTCACCCAGACGCCCCTTAATCTGACTTTTTGAAAAACAAAATATCGGGTCTGGTGGAGGAGGAAATGCGCTGTGTGATTTACCCAGAGTCTTCTAACCGCTAGATATAGTCTTAAGTCCTCTATCTTTTAGACTCCCTAATTAATGATTGGGATGTTTAAAAGGAATAATGTGTTTGAATATCCCAGAGCATCCCTTTGCCTTTTGTAACTTTACTTAATCTTCATAACAGGACTATTTGATGTTTTTATAATCCCTGGTTCACAGATGAGGAAACCCAGGCAGAGTGGGTTAATACTCACTTTAGTAATTGTCCTATTTGACTCTTGTCTATCTGACTCTGAAACCCATGCTCTTTTCACAGAGTCACATTATAAGTTTTACCTGCAATTTTTAAGTAAAATTACTTTATAATATACTCAGTGCAGAGTGGCATAGCAATATTTTCTTCCACAATACATTATTGTGTATTTGTTTGATTATGCTAGGAGATTGCTTGAGAAGATTGAGAGTTAATCACTGTTAAAATAGTTAATATACTATCTTAAAGCTAAACAGCAAATATTTAATTGCCTTTCAAGGTATGTGATCAGTTAACCTTTTTTTCTAGTATTTTATCTTACTCTCTAACATTTAATGACTCCTCCTTCTTTATAGAGACCTGAGCATTGTGTTGAATAAACTTCCTTTACTGACTGGCGATAGATTATTAGTAGTCCAAAGTGCATGACCTCTGCTGGGGTTCTAAGTTTGTATGCAACAGAAAACGAAACCGGGATTTGTAATATGAAGAAACTGTTAAAGAGCTTTGTATAGGTGTCAGAGATTAAAGAAAATACAACATGTCACTGTTCTAAGAAACAAAGAACATGAATGAGTAATTTTCTTTACATTCCTACATCTTAATACTTGGGAGTAGTGAAAAACAAAGAGGGTTCTTTCCTACTGATATTTTCCTAAGGATAGAATTGGGGAAAGTTTCTTTCTTTCTTTCTTTCTTTCTTTCTTTCTTTCTTTCTTTCTTTCTTTCTTTCTTTCTTTCCTTCCTTCCTTCCTTCCTTCCTTCCTTCCTTCCTTCCTTCCTTCCTTCCTTCCTTCCTTCCTTCCTTCTTCCTTCCTTCCTTCCTTCCCCTGGAGACAAAGACAGGAGGTAAGAGGAAGTTTCTATGATATGTGGGACTAACTGTTAGGCTTCAGTTCTAATACCTTGGTTACTATTGGAAAGCACTTTGTTTAAAAAATAAAATGATGCCTTTCTATGGCAATGAATGATAGCTTCTCTGAATTTCCCTAGAGGGGTCAAAGAAAGCAAGTAGAGTTGGAGACAGAGTGATGTCTTCATTGAAGATATGAAGACATATCACTATGAAGATATTCATTCTGTGTACATTTACCTTTCAAGCTATGCCTTTTTTTTTTTTTTTTTGTAAAGCAGAGATTAAAATGTTTATTTTTCTTTTTACTTCTAGAGGAATTTCAAATTGTTTTGAATGGAAGAGGATTCATCTTGGGCAGTCGGAATGGGAATGTTCTGTGTACTTACACTGTAAATGAAACATACACAAAGAGTAGGTTCCCTGTAATCTCCATGTTGCTTGAATATCTGCACAGCATATAAACATCAAGTGTTTTCCTCTTTTTCCCAGCTGAAATCAACTAAACCATATTTTTCAATCAAGGAAGAAAGAAATGAAGTCCAGTAGAGTACCAGTAGTAATAATACTTTTTTTTTTTTGTTATTTCATGATTATAACCTTTGTTAATAACTTAAGAAATGCTGAACCCTATCCTAAGTACCCTCATTTTACAGGTAGTGGTCCAGTGGCTGAAAGAGTCAAATACCTTGGGTGTGGTGACACAGCCAATAATGGGAAAAGCTGAGAGTTGACCCATGTTTCCTGCCTTCATTCTGTGTGGACTGCATCAACTGCTTGATTTAATTGCCTCTTTCTCCAGATTTATTTATTGTCACTCTTGCCTGAAAATCTAACTGTCTTGGACCACTCTACTACTTATTGCCTTGTTTTATTCTCATTCATTTTCTTCATCTAATTTCCCAATAATTTACCAGTCAGCTTCTTGAGATAGGCTTTTTGCCTGGTTGATATTTCATATATTTTATATTTTTGGATACATCGCATATTTTGATCTTCAGTGCCCACCCAGCACTGTTTATTGAAAATTATCATATTTATGGAATGGGGTTTTATTTTCTCTAATACAGCTTTTAGAAAAGCAGATGAATATAATGTTTTTAATCTTCATTCTGAGAAAAACTCCTTAAATAATCTTAATATTCTGAGCATTTTGGGTCTCTATTAAGACATTTTTTCTTTATCAATGATTATATTGGCTTTTAAAATTTTAATCTGTAAGGCAGATGCTACAACTCTGTGAACCCTGATAGAATTATGTTTTGTGAGGTTGATCTACAATTTTGCTGTTTTTCTGATGGTACTAAACACTCCAATGGCACAGCTTTGGCTATGTACACAGCAACTGTTCAGTGTGTGTTTGTTGAATTAACGTGATGAGGATCTCAGCATGGTAAATGTCATAATTAAATCCTCTCTTTCCTGTTAGGATCATCATTTTGGTAAGGCAAGATAATAATATTTGTAACAAACACTTCATAGTAGATTCTACAAGTGAAGAGGACAAAGTAATTTTATTTTTATTCTCTAGTCTTCTGAATCTAAGAGTTAGCTTTACCTAGCTCCCTTTGAGTACATGTTTGATTATAGTATAAACATAGTTATTCCTTAGCTACCTAAGATTAAATTTATTACAGTAAATCCTTGAACAAATAAATGGAGTCAGATTGTGTTTTCTTCCCTTATATCCCAGGATTATCCATTTGATTATGTAACTTTTCTGAATGTTTATAGTCTGGATTTTCTTGCTCCTATAATATTAAAAATATTAGGGCAATTTAAGCATTCTATTTTATGAAATGTATTTATTTATTGTAGATACAACTATTTTATTAAACCCTTGAAATATATTCATTCTTCTTGGATGCTCATCTTTTCTCCATTGTTTTAAGTTCTGCTTTTAAAATATATATCATTTATCCTTAAAAGCTCATAAGATACTTGAAAAATGGAGATGGAGAAGATGATAATTTTGTCTACAAATATATGTGAATTTGGTCTAAGAAAAAAATCACAACTTAATTTACCAACAATGTATATCAATGAGGCATATAATCTCTATGTTTTCATTCTCTTTTCCTTCTCCTCTTTTTAGATGAGAATCTATTTGGTGTTTCATTCTAATATATATCTAACATTACACCATTAAACCCTGATTACCACATGTTTTTTAGATTATTTTTTACATTTTTTTTCAAGTTTATTTATTTATTTTGGGAGAGAGAGGGTGAGAGTGGGGGAGAGTCCCTCTTATTGTCAGTGCAGAGCCCAATGTGAGGCTCAATCTCACAAACCATGAGATCATGACCTGAGCTGAAATCCAGAGCCAGACACTTAACCAGCTGAGCCACCCAGGCGCCTCATGTTTTACATATTATTAATGAAACTGAGAAAAATAAAGCTCTTTATTAATTCAGTGCCATTTTATTTTCTAGGTGTTAACCCAGTAAGTGTGGAGCTTAATTCTATGCTTTGTCCTGCACCTACACTGAATAAAGTTGGAGAGTAAGTACTTCATTTAAAACATTTTTAAAACATTTTAAGTACAAATTATTAGGAAATGGTGACAAATTTGCATTAATTATTCTTGTCTTTTTTAAAAAATGTATAGAGTGAACATGAAGTAGTAGTTCTAGGCAAACTACTCTGGCTAGTACTTTATATGTACTCTTAGTAGGTTGAAAATGCTTCAGTCTCCTTTACCGTATTGCTTAAATATTGAATAAAAGACTTCATAAGTTTTTCTGGATGGGTAAGAGAACTATCATTAGAGGCTTTAAATAATCAGTGCCATGGTCATTATTTTGAACTGTGCAGTATTAAATTTACACATGCACCTACACACATTTTACACACACATGAGTTACAAAGTGAGTTTGGCTAACTACTATAGTGTTTAAATATCAAGATGAAAGAGCAAAAGGAACATGGCTCAATAAGGCATATCTTGGACTAGGAAATATTTGTGCTTTAATTTAAAATTCACATCCCGTTAAGGTCTCTTTTCTTATGTTTTTTGGCTGTGGCAATAAACCATAATGACACCTGGTTAAAATAAGGAATGTTTGGAAGAAGAGCTTTTATTTAAATCACATAAACACAAATGATTTCATTAGTAATTTCGTATTTCCATTTATGATTTTTTTTATCCTCTCTATTATGAAAGAAACAATTGCAGACAGTTCAGATGTTCCTTAGCTCAGCAGTAGTGGATATAATATGTTTAGGATAATAAATAAGATACGAGATTACTTTAAATTGATCTTGCATATAGAACAAATGAAATATACAAGGTTTATTAGCTTCTTCTGGTTTTTCTGCTTCTGTTCTTGGCGGAAGTGATCCTTTTAAAACCATTCATTTATATCACCTCTCCACTTTGAAGCCTTGATAATGAGTTCCCTATTCCACTCAGAGTGGAAATCTAAACATTGCGATGATCTACAAGGTTCTGTACGATCTGGCCCTCACCATGTCAGAGTCTTCATCTTCCTTTTGCCCTTTCTGTGATGTTCGCACAGGCCTCTTTGCTGTTCCTTAACTGTGTTGACACTTGTATACCAGTTGTTCCCGCTGCTTGAAATGCTCTTCTCCTCATGGTTCACTCTTTAGGCCTTGTTCAAATGTCACCTTCTTGGTAAACCCTTCCTGGTCACCCTATTTAATCAATACAGTCTTTCCCCTCTTGAGTTTGGCACTCCCTATTGCCTTTTCATGGTTAATTTTTTTCTCCCAAGCGTTTATTTTATCTGGGGTTTCTTTCCTGATAGGATAGATTTTGTTTTGTATCTGTAACACCAAACACGATGCTTGGCACACAATAGATTCATAAATGTTTGCTAGATGAGAAGATGGACACATTTTTCTCAAATATTTTGAATTACTAGTTATATTAAGAGCAAAAAGAGTACCTTTGATTGCAGGGGGCGGGAGAGGTCAGGGACTTCTATCAGGTAGGAGAAAAATGCCCAAATCCTATGTGGGGGTGGGGGGTGGGGAGGGCATGCCATGTAAAAGAACAGAAGGGTGCCTGGGTGGCTTAGTTGGTTGAACGTCCAACTCTTGATTTCAGCTCAGGTCCTGGTCTCATGGCTCGTGGGATTGAGCCTGCGTTGGGATCTGCACTGACAGTGCCGAGCCTACTTGGGATTCTCTCTCTTCCTCTCCCTCTGAGTCTCCCCGGCTTTCTCTCTCTCTTTCTCTCAAAATAGATAAACGTTTAAAGAAGAAGAAAGAGAAGAGAAAACTATCTTGGCTTTTTAATAGCAGTGATTGGTTAAGGAAGACAGCTTACTTTCTTCTTCAAAGTAGTTATAACATGCAGTATGCCTGTTTTATCCCAGACACTGAGTTTGTCTTCTCTAGAATTTGCCTTTGGGCACTCTCATTTTAAGAGACAACTATAGAGACTGCTGATATTCTTCAGTGATTTGTAGATTGGCTAAATACCCAGGACATGTGATTTAAAAAAAAAAAATCATATAGAGCACAATATTACTAGACATGAGAAGTCATCATTGGTTTGGCTTTTGACATTAATATTTCACCTACAAGGAACTGGGGATTTAGGAGGAAGGACATTTTAGATAATTACTTTTGCCTTCTCTTTCTTTCTTGTTTGTTTGTTTGCTTGCTTGCTTGTTTTCTTGCTTTTTGGTATCAAGCACATGATACCACTGAGGCAAAACATGAGAAGGTTTTGTTTGTTAGTATACTGGGCACTTGGAGACATCACGATTGCTCTAAGTATGTTGCAAGTAATTTGGACCTTTCCTTTGCCTTGACTTTTCTTCAGATACTATTGTAGGTGATGAGTGCTCTTATGAGATTTTATAAAAATCAACACAAGTGAAACAGTTTAGCCTTGTAAGGTGACTGATGCTTAATATGTTTGCCTAATTAGCTTTTGGCTAAGGATTCAAACCCATTAAGTAGCTAGTTAGTCTATGTTTCAAATAAACACATCTGGCCCAATAATGAATGAAGGATTTTCTTGTGCGAGGGTGACAGATGTGGTGACGGTTCCCCGTGTTCTCTCACTTAAATAATTAACAACACCCTGGTGAAGTAACCCTAGATAGACAGCCTCAAAGCCAGATGCTTAGTCTCAGAGCTGGTTCCGTGGACGCGTGCCTTATCTCATTAACCTGCTCTATCAGTTCTTTTCGCATCTTGCTGTTACTTCCTGAATTTCATTTTGTTTGAGGATTATTCTTTTAAAACCTAAACGCTTGTGAATGTTAGTTTGTAAGAAGGCTAACATGAAAATGCTTTACTTGGAGATGGGGATGAAGAATATAGCAGCAGAGCTAGGACCATAGCTTTGCATTTGGAAATTGATTTGGAGTAAACAAACATTAAAGCTATCTGGGCAAATCTTATGTGGGCATATCATTGGTTAGTGTTATTGAAAATGGGTCTTTGAAGTACTTTCTTTGAGAGAGATTTCTGTTTCTTAAATGTCTTTATTTGATATAGATTTCCTGATTGAGAGGAGTGGATTCTTAGTATTTATTTATTTATTTCAGTTTATTTATTAATTTTTAGAGAGACAGAGACAGTGTGAGTGGGGGAGGGGTAGAGAGAGAGGGAGAAGGAATCCCAACAGCGTGGAGTCCACAGGGCTCAAGCTCACAAAACCACGAGATCATGATCGGAGCTGAAACCAAGAGCTAGCCACTTAACTGGCTGAGCCACCCAGGCACCCCTGGATTCTTAGCATTTAAACAGGAAGAATGTAAAGGTGGTGGTAATGAAGTTGTTCTTTTGTACTTCTTTCACTGGATACAGTTTTGTTTTAAAATGTCATGTGATTAAATAAGTTGTCTTACCAAGAAAAATCTGTAGATCGTTGGCCGTTTACTTCTGCCAGTGGCTCACTTGTACCAAAATGTATTAAGTTTGAACAGGAAAGACTCTGTGGAGTTCTTTGAATCCTCCCCACGCAGGGTGTTTGCCTCGTGGTATAAGTGCAGGTGTCCCAGTACTTGAAGGATGGGCTTCTCTTCTGACCCTTGTTGAGTGAGATGTCAACAATAGCACAGCTGTTCTGCAATAGTTGAGATCTCAAACCTGTAATTTGGCAAGAAGAGCAGAGCAAATTGGGTAAATATACATAAACACGTTGTGAAGAAAGAAAAACAGAACAGAATGAACCATAGCCTTATCCTACAGCTTGTTTGATAGAGATGATTTAAGGAGGCATATGGTATAGTTAAATGTGCTTTCAAAAACATTGGCCAGAATCTTCTGGCAAATATGAAATAAATATCTAAGTCAGATGAAACTGATAGTATTAGTTCTCTTAAAAGGCAGTGTGGGAAGACAGTTGACAGAGTGTTTTGAGTAAGAAGTGGTGGGACATTAGTGTATGTGGAAAATTTTAGGCATCTGATATTGAAAGTTCATTCAGATGAAAGGTGTGGCTGACTTGGGGTTAGAGTCTGACTTGGTAATAGAATCTTTTTATTTTCTTCTTTGACATTGTTATTTTTTTCAATATGATCATTTTTCCTGGGATAAAACTGATTCATTCCACTTCTCTTTCTTGGTTGGAAACATTATTGCCTTTAGCACGGCTTCACACGTGAACACTTTTTTTCAAAAATATACCTGTGCATGTATGTGTATGTATATCTATACAATACCTAATAACACTATCTTACCAGCAGGTGCTAGAGGAATGCCTTTATTCTCTCTTCTTTTCCTTATAAGGAATGAAACTTGATTTATTTGTTTTTATCATGGATTCTAGGACATTAGTTATGTCTTCTAATGTAAACATTAGAATCTTGTAGAATCTTGGTGAGATAGGTTAAGGCTGAGGAATAATATCTGTTTCTTTATTTCTCTATCCCCCACCCCTGGTGGTGGGGCATTTTATCTTTTCTTTCCCACAGTGTATTGCTTTCTGATTATATGTATAAATGTCATCAGTTCACCTAATCTGTATTGCATCTCTATCCTAAGAATTATTTTTAGTTCTGGAAATTGTCTTTTAAGAGGAACAATTAAGTGGAGCACATCTAAAGGTGGCCAATGAGATGTTGCAAGTATGGAAATGTTTAATAGGATATAATTTAAAATACTCTAAAATATGATTCATGCGTGATGCATCAGATGTCTTCAAACATCAGCTCTGTCATGTGAAAGACAGATCTGACTTATTCTTTATTGCTCTAAGGAAAGGAGAAGGAAAGAGTGAAAGGTAAAGGGAGGTACATTTCAGCTCAATACAAGGAAGATCTCTCTAACAATTTAGCGAGTGTTTTGGTAACCACAGGTGTTCAAAGAGGGACAGAGATATGATGAGATAGAGGATATCCTTAAATATGTGTTTAAATCTTCTTATGTACTGCTCCTAAATTTTGCATTATCATTTTTTTGCTATGATTAAGGTATTTGGCTTTTTTTTGATGAAAGGCACTAAAAATGAGTGATTATTTCCAAGTATCCTTTCATTATTTTATTAAAATGTGCAAACACAGTTGACAAGGGATTCTTTT